GAAACAAACCTATTTTTTAATTTTGGCCCCATGTGGTTTCTCTAAATAAAATGATTCCAATGATTCCTGTCAGAGGGCCAATAATGGTGCGTGAAACTTTCCCAAACAATTTTACTAAAATTTTCATCAGGAGAGGATCCCTGTAAATATTACACATTTTAGTCAAAATCCTTCCTGAGTTCAAGTTCAAAATGGACAAACTTGTATACATGTTTAACCATCTTTTGGTACTTTGTTCAATTTGATAAAGATGTGTCTCCCAGGATGGGCTCATAAAATGTAAATTTGAGATTTGGCCAGGGTTAATGGGCCTCTTGTACTTGCAGTATACTTTACTTTTTCCTCTCATGAAATGTATCAAAATTTTCTAAATACATCTCTCATGCAATTACCACTCTATGACCTCCTCTAGCAGATCAAATGGAAATTCCTGACATACCTGCAACTTCATGCGTTATCTTATTGTTGTTGACGCATTACAACTTTGTAACGAAACTATAGGGTCAACGATTTCTTTCTCAATGAAAGAATTGTGTTCCTCATCAGCAGAATTTCCCAAAGCCTCCAGCTTTTTTTCAAAACATGGTCTGTTCGGCAAATTGTCGAATGCATCTCTCCGTCTAGTACATTTTTATATTTAAATTTTAAATACAACTAATATTTCAGTTCCATGTATTACCAATATTTAAAAAAATGTGATGAAAAATTTTTCAAACCTCTCTCTCTATATATATATTGGGATTGAACTTATTAATTCATATTTTTCATATTTACCTTCAGTCAAACTTGGAAAAAGTGATTTTCTTGTACTCTTTGCTTGGTTGGCCAAGCTTTCATTTGCATAAATAGTACATGGAGTACTGACCTCCACAATCTCATTATGGGATTTTTCTAAGTAACTAAAATTTTGTGTTACAGTGGCCATTGTGATTAAACATTCTCAAGCTATAGATTATAGAATAACAAATTTTCTACAACCACAATCCCAGTAAAGTGTGAAAGGAGAGAAAACAATGTGATTAGCATTTCCAAATAGCTAAATCTTTTTTGTTTTAATTTCATAATACCATATATTACATAGATTTGATGTTTTATCTACTAGTATATCAAAATAACCGAAAGTGTACCATTTTATTCATATTTGACAACATACCGACTGAAAAACTTGTACAATCGCCATCAAGTGTGTCAGCTATTCCAGCTTTTAGGGTTTCTTCAAATGATTTTTCAAATATCTGTAGGAAATTATTGTTAAACACATTTCACCCAATTACCACTTTTCAAAATATACTCACCTCTACATAATTTTTTATCCCTATTGATATGTATCTTCGTATATATGGTTGTACTGTAAATAATTTATCATCCCTATTGTTATTTCTTGGGTTAATTAAGGAATGCATTTAAAGCTACTCATATTATACAAGTATAACACAGATTTGAGCAGTATTTGATTATTTGCCTAAAGAACCATTAAGTGACAAATTTATCTTGAGAAATGAAGCTTATTTTAACCTATGTTATACGATATAAGAGAGGTTAAAATAAGTTTCATTCCTTATAATTTAATTTCAGTGTAGACAATAAGGCAATCCCCCCCCCTCCCCCCAAAAATGGCTTCAAATTGAGCATATTTTAAAAATAACGTAACGCGGAGTAATACGTTTTTGACGTAACTCATTGTGACGTAGGCAACTTATGTTATACGATATAAACGAATTTGAATTGCCTCAAAAATACACGAGTCATACATAGACAAGTCAAGGCACAATTCAAGTCAACTGCAATAAAAAAAAAAAGTGTGTAAATGCATATAGATTTTAGAATAAAGTGTTCTTTAAAAACAACATTAAACAAATACCTTATAAGAAAAATAGGATTTTAAAACTTAGATCTTAAGCACCTATAGACATGTCAAAGCTGCACAATTCAGGTCAACTGCAATAAAAAGGGTGTAAATGCCTATTTAGAATAAAGTGCCCTTTAAAACCAACATTAAATAATTACCTTATAAGAAAAATAGGATTTTAAAACTCACTTTAATTGAGAGTCATCAAGTAATTATGATTATATTATAGAATAGTACGCGATTACTTTGATATATGGAATGGTTGTATAATCAGCTGGTAATCGATTACTTTTAAAACCCAAAGTAAGTATTACTGAAAGTAATTGAATGCATCCCTGAAGAGACATTAATGACAATCTAAAATCTTAACTAAATGACAAAGAAAATATTTGTTGTAATGAAGTTCTCTGCACGTACAGGCCATCGTTGAGTGAACTTTTGACTGACTTTTTTTTTTATCATATCAAGTACCTATTAGGGATTGTTTTTATATCAGTTTTGACTATAGATTACTCCATTTACCTGATAAATACAATTGGCATACAGTAAGAAATGCGGGTGTAACTTGTCAACAGATTCCTACTCCTCCTAGTCACCAAATCCCACTTCTAGTATTTCCAGTTCCGTCAAGAGATCCGTGTTTGTTCCCTTTCCCAACTTGTATAAAGTTTATGGGAATTATATGAAATTATAGCTGTTCAATATCTTCGCTTTTACATCATACCTCTTATCAATTCTCTTGCCGACGCACTTCATTGGATTGCAATTTGATAAAGTGCGTCACAGATGAACATAGTTGATATATCTTGGATTTCTTAGTAAAATATTTCTATTTATACCAAAGACAATACTTTGTGGGCTTTATTTAATTTTATATGGGTTGAAAACTAAGAAGATCTTCTTTACGCTTGCAGAATGACTTATCTTGATGAGCTATAGTTTATTAAAGTTTACAATTATATCAAGAGCTCGAGGTAACAGAAAAATCCAAGGCAGTGTTTCTAAATTCAATTTATCTCCTACGCCCGATTATTCTTTAGGTACAATCCCATAGTACTATCAAATTTTAAGTAGTTGATCTGGTTCAAAGGAGTTGTTTAATACTAAATGCATTTCAGGCCCGTATGGAGCAATTTAAATTGAGAGGAGGGATTCCTACTTGAACACAAATAAATTCCTGACAAGCAAATCAAAACAAAAACAAACAACTTTTATAACTGATTTTGTTAACGTTATTTTTCAAAACATTTAAGTTTATAATTTCAAGAGATTTTTCCAGAAATACATATTCAATAGCTTATATTCAGTAAGAATTCTGCATTTACACTTGCACAACTTCAAAAACTGTTTGGAAATATCTTTTATAAAGAAAGACTTTAAAGAATCATTTTTATGGTGTACATCATTCTGTAAATACATGTATCAATGTGTTTGTTGTATTGTCAGTGTCTGTCTTGGACTTCGTTAGTACATCAAGCATAACATCTGATAAACAAAAAAGAAAGACTGGTATGATATAATGGGTAGTTACTTTTGTAAACCTTCAATGTGGAAAAAAAATAAAATGGAGATTATGCAACGACAGATTCGTCACTGTAAAGGAATCTTTAATTGCTGCCCGATTTCAACGTTAACTTATTTAAATATATTCCAGACAAGGTTGTTTGAGCTTTAGAATGAGAATATATAAATACATAAAAATGATCACTAAGGTGGGCAAAACTGTGGTTTCCTATTTAGTTTTAATTAAAAGTATGTTAAAGGAGATGTAATTTTGCATTGAAATCTTAAATGGTTAAGAGCGCAATCATAAAGCTACAAAACCAATTACAGCAGTTAACAAATTGAACAAAACCAGTAAAGCGAACATTTATATTAACAGCCCGTGCCCATGTTTTTGCACACACCAATGTTTGACGTAACGATATGAAGAATATCGTGATCATTGAATTTCAAGATTTTTCATGCAAGTTTAGTTCATTAAACTTATTATTTTTTGAAATAAGATTAGAAATTTACAATTGTAAACTAAACGGAAAATTAATGCATTTAGCAAGCCCCTTTCACAAATGTTTTCTTGTTTGTTTCGGAATTTTTCTAGGATCACTCAGAGTGCAGGCACTGAAAAGATACTAATGCAAAACGTATCAATCAAAATATTTTTCTTTTATTATATATGTAACAAATTAAGTCTTAGATGGAGCTTAATATGTTAAAATTATTATATCTTGACCTTTCAATCTTTTTATAGTTCTAGTTCAAGAACTAATCAGAAGTTAGAAACCACAAATATCATAGTCTCTTTATTTAAAAGAAGATTCTGTATTGTTTCTGCACCTGATTCGAACAGAGTTACAGCTCTGAACCGACAAAAAAGTTAACGGGGTTACAGCTCTCAATGCTGTCTGTGGTATTACCATTATACCACATACTATTGGGGTTAGCGTTCAGAACAGTAACACCAGACGCAATACGGAAAGTCTCTGGTCTTAACAGAGGAAAAACTAATTCGTACAAGTATTATTCATATTCATGATTTTTTTTTTATGTAACAAAATGCATAAATAAATATATAAATATGATAAGGCCAAATATATCTGGATATGAGACTTTTGAAAACGATTTTGCTGAGCACGTACTGCACTTCTCCTAATAGAGTACCTAAGTTGTTTTTTTTCTTTTCTTAACTTTTATTTTTTTATTAATTTTATTGAGAAGAACAAATCAAGTTACAATAGTACGATAATTTATATATTTATCAAGTAATACATTTGAAATGTGTTTGTTTGTTGTTGTTTTTTTAAATATGATATATGATACAGTGTCGGCTGCATACCTATAAGACACCCCCCCCCCCCCCCGTCATGTTTGTTATCAGTGCCAGATGCCCGCTCCTGCTGTTGACCATCACATGTGTACACTTTGATTTATTTCATATTTAGCCTATATAATAGCCTAGCAAATTATAAAATATTTAACAGACTGATGTAAAATTTTGTCACGTGATAATTTAAAGACGGGTGTTGATGATCAGCCTCACCGTCACTCGCCATTTTATATTGCACGTGCGCTTTACAAAGACAAAAGAAGAGAAGAAGAGAGTAATCAAGGAAGTTTAGTCAAGTTTTGTCAATCCTTTACTGATTTGAAGACTTAAAATGGAAAAGGTAAGTGTAAAACACCAGTTTGCTTATGAAAAATGTAGATAAAATAAAATGGAAAGGGGGGGGGGGGTCGCGGGTTATTTTTCAGAATCATTGTAAAAAGTTTTGTACACTCAGTATTTATACATACATAATAATATGATGATAAATTTACATTTTTATATTGAATATTCACATAAACTAAAAGTAATCTCATACACAAGCTGTTTAGAAGAAGTGGTACCGTTTTAATGAATATATATATAGAAACAATTTCAGATTGGGAGGGGGTGGGCAAATATTTTCAGTTTGGACTCCAGGCACTGCCAAGTAAAAAAGTTCTCGGATGTAATTATTGAGATGACACATAATGGTTGTGTTTTCTATCGCATTTTTCAACAAAATAATAGGGGTGTCAGCGAGCTTGGCATGACCCCCCCCCCCCAAGGTCTATTGAAAAAAAAGGGGGGGGGGCTGTAGTGGGAAAATTCATGGAATTCCTTCCCATTGACCTGAATAATTAAATTGCTAGCCCCTGTCAGAAATTCTTCAACCACATACCAATTAAACCCCCTTTTATGATGAGAAAGATATCCATACTCTGTATAGGAATGCATTTATCATGTTTATAGATTTATATGCATGCATAGGCGTCGGAAGCAAATTAAAAGTGGGGTGGCTAATTGAAAGTGGGGGGCTAAACCAACGAAAAAAGGTAAGCCCCAATTTTCAATGCCTATATTATGTATATCTTTGCAAAAAAAGTAAGCCCCCCCTAGCCCCCTCCCCCCCCCCCCCCACCAGTTCCTACGCCTATGGCATGTGTATTGCGTACTCATCAATTGACTTCTTTATATTATTAATGTACCTGTGGGTATCCAAAGTAACAATGATGAAAGGTACAAAAGTGAGGGTGTTTATTTTTTAAGTATATGTACATTTATGTAGTTGATTAATCTAAATAATTCTTTACATGTACACTTTGATAAATACTCACTATTTAATGTCCCAGAAAGATCAATTTTTATCTCAAATTCTGTTGTAAAACTGAGTATAGTGAAAATTTAGTTTTGTTCGAACATTCAATGTTTTAGCAAAAGAGAACAGAATTTACGCCAGAACAAGTGAGGATGCTGGAGGAGGCCTATGGACAGGGCACAAGGAAAGGAAAGGCCTGGTTAGGTGCTCACCAGGAATTGGCAGCAAAATTAAATTTAACAGAACTTCAAGTAAAGGTAGTTCCCTTATCCATTTATGCTTTAAATTTGTTTTTAGATAAATAAACCTTGGTACATGTACCATGTATTTGCCTCAGTTTGATCAAAAGCTCTAGGTTAATCCATATTTTTACAATAACAGAAGTACGTATTAATAATATTAATATTAAATGCTTGATTGTGGTGTTTTATTTTTTCATATATATATATATATATATATATATATATATATATATATATATATATATATATATATATATATATATATATATACTTTATTTCAGAATTGGTTGGGAAATTACCACAAATCCAAAAGTGGACATGGTAAATTGGTTCAAAGGAAGACACTCCCAGCAGTAAGGCCAACTGCTTATTCCTTATTTTGTAAGGAATACTCCAAGGGTAAGATCTGACTATTAAAATTTTAAAAAACCTTTTTTTAAACTTTTCCAATGAATTATAATTCACTTTGAAAATTATAGAATCTGGTAAATTTAATCCAATAACCAATCAAGTTTTGATATAGTTAAGTGACAGTTCCCTTTTTTAGGTCACCTGACTCACTCAGGTGACCTATTGATATATGTTTTCATCTGTTGTCGTTCGTAGTCAATCGGTCGTATACTTTTGAACATTTTTAGCTTCTTCTCTGAAACCACTGAACCAATTTCAACCAGTTTTGGCATATAGCATCTATAGGTGAAGAGGAGTAAAAATTGTGAAATCCATGGCTCTTGCCCCCCTGGGGCCTGAGGGGTGGGGCAAAAACCACTAAAATTAATGCAATCTTTAAAAATCTTCTTCTTTGCTCCTGGACATCAAGCAGTCAAACTGTTCGCATGATTGCACATGTAAGAAGCAATGAGCCCTCTACCAAAATTGTGAAATTCATGGCCCCAGGATCAGGAGTTCCGGTGCTAGGATGGGGCTCTATTGAATTTAGTGAAAATGCATTATTTCTTAAAAAATCTTCCCCTCTGCTCGTGGGTATTAAGCCAATGAACTGTGTACATAGTTATGATGAGGAAGGGTGCCTCTTCCAAAATTGTGAATTTCATGGCCCCTGGGTCAGGGGTTCTGGTGTTAGGGCGGGGCTCTATTGATTATATAGTGGAAATGCATTAATTCTTTGAAAATCTTCTCTTCTGGTCCTGGGTTTTATGCCGATGATCTAAGTACATAGTTAGTATGAGGAAGGGTGCCTCTTCCAAAGTTGTTAATTTGATGGCCCCTGGGGGGTACCTGTTGGCTGGGGGCCCCTAATGATTATATTCTGAAATTTAATTAATTCTTTTAAAATCTGCTCTTTGTTATTAATCAAAGATTTATGATGAGCAAGGGTACCTTTCCCAAAATTGTGATATGTGTGTCCCCAGGGTCAGGGATTCCTGTGAGGTGGGGCACTACTGATTATATGGTGGAAATGCATTTTTTCTTTGTTCTTCTGCTCTGCCTCTTGGTATTAAGTAATCAAAGTAAGCATGCTAAGTGTAGAGTTATGATGAGCACTGGTACTGCCTCCTTCAAAATCGTGAATTTCATGTCCTCTGGTTTAACACAAGGCCCAAATTCAATTGCTACATGATACTCAGGTGACCTATAAGGCCCATGGGCCTCTTGTTTGTCAAATAATATTATTTCATTGTATCTTCATTTCCTTTTTTATAACCGGATGCCACATACATTCATACATATATTTATTAAGTTTTATTAATTTAGTAAGAAAATTATTTTACATTATTATCTTGATTACATGTATGTTCTATTTCACTTGAAAAATACTCAAATTTGTAGATCATCCTGGCTTTAATCCTTCAATATGGAAAATGGAGTGGGAGGCAGCTGGAGAGAAGGAGAAAGAGAGGTACGCAAAGATGGCAAGGGAGATGTCAGAAGAGGGGGGAAGTGTATCAACAAATGATGATCCCACTACTCAGAAGAAGACCATTAGAACCCTTCTGAAGCAACTGGAATGGACTGTAAATACCTTAGATTTTGATATTTATATATTTAGTAGAGATTTTTGATTTTTAACAATTATTCATGTTAACCTAATTATTTTTGCCTCTACTGCTGTGGATTAATAATTGATTATGAAGGACTAATATTCATGGATTTCATGAATTTAATCTTGCCTATGAATTAACATATCCACAAGGGACATCTTACAATGTATCAGTACACTACAACGAATGTTTTGTAAATATGAAATCATTATGACCCCAAAATCCAGTTAAATTTTGGTTGTCAATGTGCAACAGAGACATTTATCTGAATTGGCTTCGGATTGAATCCAGGGACTCTGGCATGCCAGTCCAGTGGGTTAACCCACTAGTCCAAGCTAGTAGGATACCATGTACTGTATCTAATGTACACTACCACATATGAACCGACCACCACAGATTAATATGATTTCCCTTTATGATAGTTTAATCCAAGCTTGTTTTAATTATCACAATAATGTAAACAAATTAATTAATTTGTTAATATTATATTCATAAATGCATGCATGTACTAAGGTATGCATTGTTTATGTATATAAATTAAGTCACTCAAAACAAACTTATTTCCTGACTAGAAACAGACAGTATTTTTATAAAAATAGGAGGAAACTTATAGAAAAGATTTTGATTAAATGAAGTATTCAATTTTTCTCTATCAAATATTTTGGCTGGTATAATCATAATTTCAGCTAGGTAAAAATATCAGGTACTAGCAGATTTTGAAAGGCCTGTTTTATTATAACTGTCATGTTTATAATGTCATTTAATCTCCATTTTTTGTTGAAAAGAATCTGTTTTCATATTATATATCATGAAAATTATAAGTATCAGGTTTTTGCAGTCATCTTGGGACCAAAAAATGCTGATTTCTTGAATTCTATTTGAGTCTTCTTTTAATTGAACTCATTTTGATAATGTAAAATGATCTATATTTGTAGAGTAGGCGATTGGAAAATATGGGCTTGCCCAATTTCGCTTTGGTGGCTGAAAATAATACTGTCCACAGCGTTGGAACAGGGAGGGGTCGAGAATTCCTTGATCGTGAGGATATTGAACCAAATTTCAGCCGATTTTGTAATCAAGGTTAGTAGGTCTATAAATTGATATTGGTTTATATGTCAACTTTTGTAATAATCGATAAGGATTATGACAAAAAAATAAAATCTTAATTTTACTCTTATTCATACATGCACTTAATTGTTGATATGTGTATCATTATAAAAATACTGCATGTAGTTGAGTGTAACATTGAAAATTTTCACTCCAAGAAAACCATTGTCAACCGAGGCACAGCCGAGGTTGACAATGGTTTTTTCGAGGGGTGAAAATTTTCAATGTTACACTCAGCTACATGCAGTATTTATTATATTATACTGAATGTTTTATACAAATACTTATTACAGTGAACCTTGTGTGCATAAATTCTGCGCAGTCAATATTTTTTGGAATAACACCCTTCGTCAAGCAATGTTGACTGTTGCTATGCTGGAGGGCGTGGCTTCATTAATAGTGTTTTTTAACAAATGTTTCTTGATGAATCAGATTCTAATAGTTTACGTGAAAGTATAATATCATGGAATACCACTTTTACCAAAAACAAACACCATGTGAAAGATTAAATATTTTTTGGGGGTAGGCCTACCATGTTTACATCCGATTTCCATTGAATTTTGGCCCATGAAGTTGCCTCACTCTTTGAAATGAAGCCTTAAAAATATACCAGCAAAAGAGGGTACATTTTGCCCCTTTGGCATATATCTTTGTATTTTATTGTCTATACATACCTATATGTGAAAGGAGAAAAATGTACTCAAATAGTGTGTTTTAAAACATTTGAAAATCTTGTTGGCCTTTCCAATCAAAATAAATTCACGTGCTAATTGAGGTACCAATGTGACATTCAAACCAACCAATCAGATAAATGAGTAGCATTTCAGGTGAATAATACAAAAATACAAATGCTAGGAAATTTTAGTATTTAAGAAAAAAAACAACTTTTTTTTTTTTGCTTTTGGATAGACAATATTATTTTTTCATGCATTTTAGTCAGATGAAATATGAACCATACTTTGCTATTAATTATTTCTATGCTCACAATTAAAAACAATTGTTTTATTGACATACTTTCTAGAATTCTATTTTTCTCCACTCCATTTGGCAAGGGATTGATGGACAATTGCCTATATATATTCCCTTGTATCAGTGAATACAAATTTTATGTGCATTTCTTGACTTGTCCCAAAAAAATAGACAGGTTCCTCACATCATCATTTATAAATGGCCTTTGTTGACCACTTAAAGTTTGAAATGTAGAAGAGATGGGATGTAAATTGACCTGAACCATATGTGTCTGTGATAAAATGCAAATTTGTTGTAAGCATCATTCATTCATTGGATTGGACAATTTTTGTCAATAAGCAACTCTTTGTGAACTGTGAAATAATAACAATAGCCCTTTAAAATAATTTCTCAGACCTGTATATCCTTCTTTAATACTTATCTGCCCATTACTTTCATCTATATTAATAAAAGAAAAAAGCCACAAACCAGTTATAGCTGTAATAGCTAGGGTCTAAAAATTCCTCTATAATGTGGCATTCCTACAACTTATAAAGAATACAAACTATAGATATTTATTTTCTCAAGGTGTTATTTTCCTTTACTCTTATTTCAAAATTACCAGATTGATATGAGGTTTATTATAATTCATCGTAGAAAAGGGGCCCCAGATCATAGTTCCGGGAATTCATCCTTTAGTAAAAAATATATTTTTAAACATAAATTCTTAGGTATGGAGAAAATAAAGTACATATTAAGTTAAGTGTATTTCATGGATTGTAAATTTTATGTTTTCCTGTATTTTGTACTTCTGCATTTTGTTATCCATTTGATATTTCGATCTGTCCCAGATTGAAGATCAAAGAAAAATTTTTTTTGTCTTGTCTGAAAATCTTTTTTTTTTTTTCAAAAATATATGATGACCCTTTTTTTTATAATGAAATGAGAATCACAAAAAGGAAATATGTATTTTTAATAATCTTTATTTATTACAGATTATTCTACTCCAGAGAAATCAAAAGTCAATGAGCTGCGAAAGACAGTTCAAGTACACATGAACGAATTATACAGTTAGTATAGATTTTATGATCATTTCAAGTCTAGTGTATAGAAGTGTGTTGAATTTTTTTTTAATTGTTAAAATCATACAAATATATAATATATCTGAGATTTTTTATTGAACAGTATAGGTCAAAAGTGGTTTCAGTTTCTTCAGACCAGTTTTGTCCCTTAGCTACCATTTGGGTTCTTAGGGAGACGATGTTCCTTTTGTCAAAATCCGAAAATATATATTGCATATACATGTACATGTATAATAATAAAAATTAAGTTTATTCCTGCTTTATAGCTGAAATCTAATTAAATTGGAAATGAGTCATAAAATAAATGAAGGATTAATTTTTTATATCCCAATTCTGGAAAACATTTTAGTGTATCGACTTGGCTTAGCCAGAAATATGTCACAAACTTCAGTTTAAATCTCATTATAGATCGGTCATGTTACATGACAAGAATTAATGTTGATGGATACATCAAGCACTGGCCCTATCAAAATGTGTGTTATTAACTACCTAATTAAATGATCAAAGTACAATATTAAGTCCCGAGAATTAAATTTTTCAAACTTCAGTGGTTTAAAGAAAAAAATCAGAAGTTTTAAAACTATCTTTAGTTCAGAATGTGTTGCAATGTTTTGAGTCTTAACATAAGTTAAACTCTCCAAATATGTTTATATGTGGAAATTTTAAAATAATCATTCAAAAAAATTTTTATACCTATCAAGTTTGTGAATGTAATGAATTTCAAAACATTCTCCAAAGAGTTGTAATATGCTCTGCCTGCTTCTGTTTCCTATTTATTTTCTTTACTTTGATAGCTTGATAAATTTTTTAAATAAGATTCCTATTGAAAAAAAATGCTTTCCCAGGATATATATATATAAATATATATATATTGTAATTAATTTTCAAAAGCTTTATTTAAATTCCTCCAAAAATGTGTAGACCCGCAGCTAAGGTCAGAATTGTAGAATCTTTTGTGGGTTACTTTGAAGATGAACACTAATAGTTCATGACTGATACTATGGAAAATGATGTAAAGTTGTTTTAACAGGAAAGGCTTCAGGCAAAGCAGGGTGCTTTCCCTACAAGATGGTGCGTAAAGGGGATATTGTGGTGGAGGGACTTCCCCAGGCTGTCTTACCTTTGCACCCTCCATCACACTATGGAGAAGAAAAGCTGCAGCTGTTGTTATCTTGTCCCAGCATTTCAGTAAAGTATGTGTATAATAGTCATATTTGATCAAAAGTGTTTAATGCTTTAAAAAGCATTTAAAGGCACAGGGTTACACTGTATATGGTAGTCTCTTTATTTTGATAAAAAGAAAGAAGTAACACTCAGATGAATTTGCACTCTTAGCATATACCTATGTTCTACTGTAGAAATGCTTTGAACATTTCATTAAGCTTTAATTACATATAGTAGCTGATTCACATGTAAAGATCGAAATTCACTTATTCAAAGAAAATGTTTCCTTTCCTCTCTAACTCACAAGAAATTCAGAAGCTTAGATGAACAAGTTTGTCTACTTTATGTTTTTTTCATGGAGAACATCACTACTTTGAATGGGCATATAAGCATTTCTACAGAAAAAAGACTGCTTCACTGCTCCTCCTTAATAGGGGAAATATTATATTCTCCTCCAGGGACATTTGGTAGGGTTTTGGAAGCCCAAACTTTGCAAAGGAAGGGTTGGTTTTGACTTAATTGGGGTGTTCAGAGGGTTTACTGAATTTTTCCTTATAGCTCGACCCTAATTTTTCACCAAAAAAATGATTATATTAGGGAGTGTCAAGAAGCTAGGCCAAGTGCATCATTTCAGAATATGTAGAGATTGCAGAGACTCAAACTTGATGCAAAGGTTGCTTATGGCCAGGGGATGAAATATCCTTAAACTACGACTGGTATTCTTGGACACATTTACACTGCTTGAAATCAATGAAATTTCATTTTTTGGGGTATATATTCAGTTTGTACATTTTTTAAATATGTTTGTATTGAATGTTTCATTATTATGCCCAATGGCCACAATTAGCTTCAATAGGACACATTTAGTTTTTTTAATATATTACATTAAAATTCCTAATTCATGCAATTATTTTGATTTTTTTCCCTATTATCAAGTTACCCACAGTCTGCAGAAGAACCTACAGATTCTCTATCCCAGGAACCATTCATTGAACACTCATCATCTGCATCCTCTAATGAACCATCTACCTCCTCTACTAGGCCATCATCATTGGAACCATTGCCTACATCATCATGTATGCATATATATCTGATTGGTAGTGATATAAAGCTTTCATTATAATGTATTTTCCTCGCTCACAGATGTTTTTTATGTAATCTTTAAACTGATACAAAATCTAGATTAGTAGTTTACTACATGTACTGTAAATGTTACCAAAAAAAATGTGACCAGTTACATCAATGTCTGTTAAGTAGCTTGAGCTACGTACTAGAAAAGAATGTTGATAACGTGTAAACTCAAGCTGCCTAGAAGAAATAACCCTGTTTACTTTACAATATTTCTAAAAATCATTTTCAGTAGGATTTTTTCTTAAATTTTGATTTTCAGAAATGATTAATTGTGAGGCAATGCTTAAGGAAGACAGTTGCCACAAAACATACAGTACATATTTTGATCAGGACACATCTTATTACTAATATTTTATGAGGAAATAAAAATAAGTACTTAGTAGGTAACAAAGGTTTTACAGGTAGAGCATATTCATCAGGAAAGAAAACAGAATAAAGAAGATTTTTTTAATAAAGAGTACAATCTAGAAATGCTTTGGAGGGATTCTGAATGCATATACAATGTCAATCACTTTCCTAGTGGAAATAAGTGTTCACTTCAATCCATTGTTTTATTTACACACTAATGTAGGTTAGATAACAGTACATGTTTTTCTGAGAAATATTCCCTTGTCAGTCTGAACAAATGTGTTGAAATTACAGTTTAACTTGCCTGAACTTAGATTTACTAGCCTGTTTATGTTGTGATGTAGAAATGAATGATTTTGTCTTCATCGTTTGCTGCATAGCAATCAAGGTGGTGCAAAATAGTTTCATATTCTATATGCCACAGTGACAACATACAAAAAATCCTGATTAACAAACGCAAGGGTTTATATACCACAATGTTGATAGATAGGAGATAAGAAAATAAATATGGCGTTTGCCTATTTATGAGTTGTGTTCAACTTTAATTTGCATTTTTAAAAAAAAAATACCGGATATTATATTGTTTGTGCAGCATCTGCTTCAACAACCAGTTTGATAGGTAAATTACTTAAAATGATTTATTTGTTGAACCATTGTAGGGTGGTTTGTCCATGGTGACTGTCATGTGAAACTAATATTACTCAATAAGGTACATGTGAATTAACATCTGAAAAAATGTTTTTCAGCACAGCATGCCACTACAGAGATGGAGGATGTGGGAAATGACCTTATTGACATACTTGGAGTGACATCAGAACTAGGTATTCTGCAACTTGTAATTGTTTAATTTGTAATTTTAAGCACTTCAATTGCGGAAATTGAAATTTTTAAGGTCACCTCAGGTGACTTATTGTTACTGTTTTTGTTTGTCATCCTTTTTTAATCTATCATCAGTCGTCAGTCCACCATTAACTTTGGAACATTTTCAGATTTATCCCTGGAACCGCAGAACCAATTTCAACCACCTTTTACATTAAGCATCTTTGAGTAAAGGGAAACAAATTTTTTTGATTTTCGTTGTGCCTGTCCCACTGGGATCTGAGGGGTGGCACTAAAACCATAAAATCTTTAATCTTTAAAAAAATCTTCCTTGCTCCCAGGCATTGAGCAGTTAAACTGTTACCATGATTGTAATGCACATTGTTTCCTCTTTCAATTTTGTGAAATTCATGGCCCCAAGGTCAGGGTTCTAGAGAAAGAGTTGAGCTGTACTCTTATTGTGAAAATTAATGCATATATTTTTTTCTTATCATCTTATATTTAGCAGATAAACTTGGTGCATAGTTATGAAGATCAAGCAATTACTCTACCTTTACCAAAATTGTGACAGTTATGGCCCCAAAGGGGTTCTGGTGGTGGTTGGGGAGAGCTCTATTGATTATACAGTGATCGATTTTTGAATATTTATTTTATAATAAATATATTTAAAAACATTTCTCGCAAAAGATGTTACAAATGTGACAAAGAAAATTAAAAATTAAAACAAACAAACAAATTGTGATACAACACAGCAATAAAGAAGATTAAAACCGTTAATTATTGAAAATAATTAATTAAATCACACTGTAATCAATTATTATTATATATTTAAGAAAAGATATTTTTGTACTTGCACTGAAACTCAATTCATCACAAAAATATTACATTCATCATGGTGTTCTTATGTACATGCTACAAAATTAAATAAATTATTTTATTTGGCTTACACATGTACATGTAGCTTAAAACAGACTATAGTCTACCTGTAAGAACTATATGCGGTATATGCATATTTTTGCCCCCACAAAAGTCATTTTTTGATAATATCTTGAAATGTGCTGAATTGTATATATTGTATGAGAATTCTAAATTAGCAAAAAATGTTATAGTTTCAAAGTAGGTTATTAGCAATTTTTTCTTCTATGACATCACGAACTATTAGGATTTTGTGTTCTTTTTCAGGAACAGGAAAAAATGGACAAAATTTGTTCAATTTTTACTATAAAATTATACAGCGCAGGCCTGCTCCAGAACAATATTTACATATTTCATTGATATTATCATTCTACACATTATATCAAAATATTGAGTTGGAGCAGATTTGCGCTCGGTGACTTTTACTCAAAATATTGACATAATATACACCTTTTTCTGTATAAATCATGGAAATTTTGAATTTACGTCATTTTTCTGACGTCATATCTAACATTTGGCGTCATGGATTATGAAAATATTCAGTGCTTTGAAGTCTGCAGATATCCCCCTGTTTTAGAACATAATTATATATTTCTCCATCAAAGTTTGATTTTGGGGGCAAATATTGGTCATTACCGAATATAGTCCTTTATTTCTTTTGTTCTCAATATGCACCCCATTCCCACTTAGCCAACACACATTTACCTGTGTTTTACCTGTATTTTTTCAAAATGTTGACTAAGTGGGAAGACACCCTGAAAATGCACAATTTCTCTGACAATCCTTTTTTCTGTTTTGGTATAAGAAAACTAAATGTATCGTAATGAAAAGCACAGTGTCTCTTCTAAAATAGAGATTTTTCAGGACCCTAGGGCAGGAGTTAAATAATTTTAAGGTGGGGCTCTACTGATTGTTAGGTGAAAATGCATTCTTTTAAAATATTCATTGTTTCTGGGTATTTTGTAAAAATGGTGCATGATAATGATGAGCAAGGGTGTGTCCTCCAAAATTATGAATTTCATGCTCTTGTGTGGGGGTGGGGGGTCTGGTGTTATCTCTATAGACCAGGTTTTAAAATCTAATATCTTCGTAAATTAAATTTTCTTCAAAGATTAAGAGAAGCCAATGTTAGAGGGAACAAGATGGGTGCACTAAAAGTGCTGATCGAAGCACTTTTCTTTTGTTTAGTTTGCATCATGATAGTGACAACTGGGGGTATGTTAAGAAAATTAGATAGAGCTACCTTAAATTTTGTTATGGAGTATGTACTAGACTAATTATTTTGTTGATTCCTATCATCCTCCTTCTTTTGGCAACATATCTTTACCTGTTAGTTATTATTAGTCTTTACTTGTATCATAATGGATTTTTCATGGTGTTGTATTATACTTAGGTGACCATTTAACCCCTTGGGCTTTATTGTTAGAAACTTTGTCTATTTTTAAGGTACTGATGTGTCTGTGGAGGAAAGGAACCTTGTTTCCAGTGCCGTATTTGTGGAGCCGAATGGTAAAACTTTGATTTTTGAAAACTTTATTTAAAATAAAAAAAATAATAAAAAAATTAATTCATTTGGAATAATCTTCTATTTCTACCACAACTATTTTTTTCCAAAAGATTCACTAATAGTTATTTCAGAGGACTGAAAAAGAATTATTAGCATGAAGTTAACATCAAATTTTTTTTTTTGTATTCAGAGAAGAAAATTAAGAAAGAAATGAGGAAAATGACGAAACAAAAAGGGAAAAGCAAAGGTAATAAAATATAAGATTATATATATATATATATATATATATATATATATATATATATATATATATATATATATAATTTATATATATATATTTAGTTAAAGAATTAGCTCTATTAAATATTGAAGTTGTTTTTCCCGAGAGGTTTTTATTCTTGAAGAATTTTTTTGTTTATTGGTAATCTATTGCTGGAAGCTCAAGTGAGCTTTTCTGATTACATTTTGTCTGTAGTCTGTCTGTCTGTAAACTTTTCACATTTTCAACTTCTTCTCTTTAAACATTGGACCAATTTCAACCAAACATGCTACAAAGCATCCTTGTGTGAAGGAGGTTGAAGTATGCATGTTCAAATGAAGGGCCAAGCCTTCTTTCAAGGGGAGATAATTCAGAAATAGTGCAAATTTTGTGGTATCATTTAAAAACCTTTTTATATGAAAAACAGGAGCAAAAAGGTCGAGGCTTATTTAAAACCTTCTTTACATAGTAAAAATTCAAATTCGTTTAAATCATGACCCTCAGGGGTAGGGTGGGGCCACAATTGGGGATATAAGTTTCACAGAAATTTATTAGGAAAAATCCTTAGAAAAATCTCAAGAGCAGTAAAGCCAGTATTAGTTGCATCACTACATAGTGTAAATTCATATTTGGTCAAATCATGACCCCCGGGGGTAGGATGGGTCACAGTGGGGGATCAAATTTCTACATAGAAATATATATGTCATATTGAATGAAGTGAGAATATTAATATACATTCATGGTCATCACAATTTTTTGAGTTGGAAGAAACACAGTATCTTACTATTGCAATAGAATTATTTATACATGTAGGTACTATTGAAGCAATATTATTTTCATGCAAGTTAGTGACCATTTTCAAATTCTTTTATGGGTGTTATTTGGTTTTGATTTCACCTTAACAACAAGCAATCATGATTTATTACCCTCTTGTTGTCTCTGTCTTTAGTTCAATTAAATAAATGCAGATTTTTAAAGAGGTGTCAACTAAGATTTTTTTAAACCACAAACTATCAAGTATTCTTTGGTTTTTTAATAACAAATTTGGGGCAAAGAGATAAAAAGAAAGATAAAAAAAAAATGTGAACTTCATTTGTTAAAGTGAACAGGAACTAATCTGACTGAACTCGAGCGTTGAAAACTTGAGAAATGTCAAACCCTAACTCTAAATCATAATTTCTGCTCATATTTTATGAGTTTTTTTTGTATTTTAGCAAGTATGATATCCTATTATGATACCCTTCCAAGCATTTAATAAATCTGAAACTACAGTATATTGCAATTTTTTTTGAAGATTGGCACTTCTACTGAGAATAAGTTTTATATGAACCCTTTTTTTTTGTCTTTTCTTCTCTTCAGGGTCAATCATTCTCTTCTATTTGAATACATATAAAATATCCCTTTCAAAAAAAATGTCACAAAAGGCCCATGGGCCACAGTGCTTGTTTGGGATGAATTCCTAATGAGGCGTCAAATTACATGAGTAAACATTCTTTTTAAGGTCAAGATCTAGTAAATGAGTTTAGACTTTCTTCTTGGTGCTAGATTCATTATGACGTCATAAATGATTTAAACTTAATTTTTTCCGTACTTTACGGCTTCAATAGAATTATGTAGAAAATAAAGCACTTTCATGGAATTCAATTTGATATCATGTCAAATGTAGCCCCAATACCCTTATTCCGTTTAATATCATTTTAAAGTAGAGATCAAGAAGATATGAAAAACCGTTTTCTAAGAGACGGTAGGCAATATTGATACATTTCCTTTGCCTTAAATGGAGAAAACTCCCATGTTTATAACTGACTTTCTTCATTTTTCATTGAAAATGGGCAGTTTATAATATGTTCTTCTGATGAATTTACCCCAAAATTATGTCTGGATACACCTTATTTTACCAAGCTATATTCGTAAAGGATCATTCGTAAAGGAATGTGTATCTCAAATTTGAGAAATCTGTGGGCACCTTTTATTCACTAGATCTTGAGCTTAATTGTAACAAAGTAAAAAGGAAATTATTAATAAATTTATTATATAATCTTGAAAATATATTATCAAATATATCAAAAGGTTAGAAACATTAAAAGTTAGAGTTAAATTTTTACCTTTACAATATTATGATAAACTTATATAAAAATGAAGTAATCTTCTTTACCCGGCTTTTTCCATAACACAAGTAACTTCAATAGGAATTGAAGAAATTAATTAATCTGTTTACCTCTACAATATGTAATAAAAATAGATAAAATTGTAGAAATCTAATGCCTTTACTCGGTTTCAAACCTGCATGATTGTAGCTTAATTGAAACAAGGATGATTAAAGGATTTTGATATTGAACTAATATAATTGCGTTTTCTGAGAGATTATTACACCGATATTTAAAATCAGGCCTAGAGGATTGTGTTTATGGATAAAGAGAGTTTTTTTTTTTTTTTACTAGATATTGATATGATATTGTGCAAATAATGTGTAAACTGTTGTTTGCAAACTTTTTCTGCTTGAAATGAATAATAAAATGGAATTTGACATCCTTTGTCCCCACAAACTACAAACAGTTCTAAAATATGGATTTGTGGAAAAGTCTTGCATTTTTATAATGCCCTCACCATAAAATGGCCAGGGGCTTATAGTGTTAACCTGTTCCGTCATTGTGTCATCAATGACTTTCCGTTCATTATCTAGGCAACAGTTGCACACATTCAACTCAAATTTTACCTATGGCTATGTAATAGGAATATGCAGGTCAAGTTCAAATTTGGCTATGGTCCAATGATTTTGACAGAGTTATCCCTTTTGAACTTAGAAAAAAAATAAGAATTTGTCAGTTTCCCCTTTCAAAATTTAGAAGGGATGTATGTATAAGGTTTAAATTGCATATGCAGGTAATTTCCTAAAGAATACAGGTCAAGTTGGAATTTGGTCATGGTCCAATGATTTTTGACAGAGTTATCCAACTTCAGAAAAAAAATCTTTTGTGCAAACAAATTTAATTCATATCTCTTTAGTTTTCATGTAGAATATTAATTTAATGTATCTATATTGCTACATTTCTTTATAGGTAAGGAATCAAAGGCAAAACAGAAGAAAATGGCATTTGATGGTATGTATATAAATTCACATTAACATCGATCTTTTAAAACAAAACTTTGGTGACAAGAAATTAAATAATAAATTTCATAATTGAATCTAGAAAAATACTAATATAAATCTTTCAACATACTGTACTTATATATGTATATATTTACATTTGTGGTATCTCTCTATTATATAAACCTGCAGAGAACAAATATCTTCATACCTGTATGAAGTTTTTCTCAGGTCATAGGTCATTACGTGACCTATACTCACATGGAACAATAATATCTACATAAAAAGACATGTTCTGCTCAACAGTATTAGCATGCTTTTTATGTAATAGAATGTATAAAATACACAAATAAATTAATAATCCTTTACAATGTAAACAAGTAATTAATTCAGTTCTTTGATTTAATTTACATAGAGAATAGAAAACTAATAGTTTCATGTCAACTTCACAGTCTCAACATTTACCCTTATTTTTCTTTTAGTTAAATCCACATCATAAACTTTAAATGCTATTCTATATATTTTTTTTCATTAAACATCACCCATGATAATTCTGTTAATGTTGGAAAATATCAATGCAATGCAAACACGGCATAAAGAGCTGACAAACACTTTGGTTTACAAGCACAATTCAATCATCAAGAGCATTGTCTTAACAGTGTATGCTGTTGCCAGTGTCTCTGTGTTTACATCATAATAAATACGCCTTACAGGAATCAAAGATTTACTGTTTTTGATCAAATTTTATATTTGATTTCAAGTTAACTGGCTCTGACAAGTGTCTCCATCCATACCTTTTCAACTGAAATTAATTCCTCCAACTTTTGATTAACAAACTTCGGAGGTGTTTCTGTGACTTCAGCATCCAATATTGATTCTCACGAATTCAAAAATTTCCAGACAACAAACTGCTCACTATGGTTGATCACAAGTTGCCTATAACAAAATATTACTTTCAAAACAGAATCCTCTGTCTGATGAATTTGAAACATAACCGCTTTTCAAGCCGATTTGCACCTTGCGTAATTTTGTCAAAATCTATGATGTACAGTTAGTGCAAAATTTATACTCAATTATATTTGATTGTCCATCTCAAATGTATATATAAGTAATAAAAAATAAGTTTAAAAACTTCAATGGGAACTGAAGTGGGTCGGTACGTGATCAAATCTTCTGAGAAGGCCTATGGCCTTCACAGGATTTGATCACATGACCGACCCACTTCATTTCCCATTCAAGTTTTTAAACTTGTTATTCTTTTCTTAAATGTAATGATATATTTTTTGATGTATTTTGTAAAGAAAGGTAATACATGTTTTTAATTGCTACTTTAAATTGATAATTACAGACAATGAACCAGGATTCTACTATGTAGATGAAATATTAAGTGAAAGGAAGAAAAATGGAAAATCAGAATTTCTTATTAAGTGGGAAGGGTATGAAGATCCCACGTGGGAACCAGAGAGAAACATCCCCACACATCTTATTGAGGAGTTTAAGAATGTCTGAAAATTTAATAATTATTGTGTCCGGGAATGTGAATAAATTATTAGTAAGGATGGCAATTGTAAATTTTTTTGTAACCAGTTAGTTGTAGATTTTTTGGACAGAGTAACCAGTTAATGGAACAGATAAGACTTGTTTAGAACTTTATTTTGAAATATTGTATTTTATTATGAGTTTTAATGCTTTTTAACAGCTTAAATTGAAAGTTGTGGGAATTTGGGGGGGAGGGGGGGTGCATACATATCAACCTCCAACTAATTTTTTCTGATCATTGAATGCAAAAAAGTGATAAAGTGCAAATTTTATTAGTCTTCTGTTTTTGTACTATTTGTTGTTAAATTTTACTGCCTCATCTTCCCTTAATTAAAACATTGCCAAGATAGCAATAGTGATGGCAATTTGCTAACATAGTTACTTAATTTTAGGGATGTAAAAAAATTCCTTGTAAAACGTTGCTGAGTAGAAAATTTATTTTTAATTTATGCTAATAAGAACTGAAAGATTTTTTTTTCACACAGGGTACTCAAATTTTAATTAGTATTAATAGGGATATGATTATGAATTATGGAGACTTTTTGAGATGGCAGTTTGCCTTGTAAATCATTTAATGATTGATTTTAGCATTTGAGATTGAAACACTCCTCCTAGAAATAATGTTCACGAAATAAATATTATTGATGTTTTAAAAGTACAAACATGGTGTATACTGCAAAAAAATGGTGAACTTGTTATGGAAATTGTTTTTGTTTTGTTTTGTTTTTTTTCCCAACTAGAGTAGATAGCTACAGTGTAATTACATAAAGGATAATTAATCTTAATGTTAAACAATAACAAAAGTATTTTACATAAATTTTAATTACTTAGCAAGAGGCCTAAATGCACATGTGTACCTATAATTCTAAAGAGCTACTTTAATTAACCAAATTTACCATTGATTGTGAATTGTGATGAAAAAAGGTGTATACTTGGAGATGATTTTAATTTCATCCCTATACCACATTCAACGTACTAGCTGTAACAATAAAGAGCTGAGAATACTCCATGTTTTATCATTGTCATACATGTAGAATATCTCATTATAGTATTTACTACATTGGTGGTGTTTTACAGTTAAAATGCATTTATTAGTACACAACAGTGGACAACTTTCAAAGTATATGTTGTTGTTGATTAATTTTATGTAATGCGTTTTCATTGTAAAATTTAGCTGATTTATTGTCCTTCGTGTTACTATGTTTAATGCTGATTCATTGTCCTTTGAGTTCCTGTGTTTAATTCATTGTCATTTTACGTGTTACTTCTTTTAATTATGAAACTATACATTTCAACTTGATGTGGGGAACTAATTAATTGTATGTGCAGTTCCTTTTTATGTCTCATACCAAATATGTATGTTTCTTCTTTTTATTTGTGTTTGTTTGCTATATATGTATATGTAAATTTTAATTGTGCTATAAGTGTTATGTTACCAGTTTGTTAAAGAGCTTTAAGCTATTGTTTTTTTGTAAAATGTATATAATTTGACTATAAATAAAATTTACTACTACTACAAATATTGGTCATTCTTGTTAAATTGAAGTCAGTAAATATTGTTTTAAACATAACCTTATTTACTTGCTTTAATTTTTATGGCAAAGAGATGTTGATCTTGAACATAGATCTTTTACTTCATAAAAAAATATGGAAATGGATGAAGAAAACCATTAATTCTACACTAGTTTTGAAATACCCTGTTGCTGAACATTTATTATTTTGGGTGAAACAAGTCTTGGTATTGAGAGAGAAAGGGATCTTTTCTATTTGTTCTGTATCATTACGTTTTCATAGTCAATCATGCTAAATGACTTCAGACTCCCATTCCTTTGCAAAACCCCAGAAATATGGCTCAATATTTGAAATAAAACCTTTGTTCTCTGATGAGTTAAAAGATTTCCCTTGTTATGCATGGAAATAAGTATAAAGCAGATATTTCTTTAAAATAAATCATTTGGGGGAAAAAAGAAAAAAAATGTAACAGCACATACTCTTCCAATTTTTTGGACTTCACTGACTTATTTCAACCGTTCAATGGGCATTACAGGTAATTAAAATGTTCACTCTCAACCACCATTGTTAATTTGCTTTTTTTATCTTTATGCGGCTGCATTGCTCTTTTCGTGCAAATTAAGTTCATGGGCATGATTTTCTGAACTATTTAGTGCAAAAAGTTCATTTTAGCCGCATTTGGTCAATGTTTTATTTTTATGCGGCTTAATATGCTCGTTTCCTGCTATTCATGGAACATAAGTATAACAGTCTCAATTATTTTATGAAAAAGTTTATTTTAAGCGGCATAAGGCCAATATTTTATTTTAATGGGACTGTTTTTCTCATTTCATGCTATTCATGGGCAATGGCATACTATTCACAAATATTTTTTTAAAAAAATGTTCATTTTCATCCGCACTTTGTCCAAATATAAAGTAAATGCGGCGGAATTTGCGTATTTTATGAAAATAATGTTTATATGCAGAATGTACTAAAATATTTTGTGAAAAAGTTTATTTTCAACCGCAATAGGCAAAAATTTTACTTTTATGCGGCTGCATTTGCTTAATTCATGCCAATTAGGGTTCATGGGCATGATATTCCAACTGTTTAATGAAAAAGATCAATTTCAGCCGCATATGACCAAAATTTTATATTTATGCGGCTGCATTTGCTTATTTCGTGTTATTCATGGTACAATGGCATAATATTCACAACTATTTCACAAAAATGTTCATTTCCATCCGCACAAAGTACAATATATATCAAATGCGGTGAAATTTGTGTATTTTGTGAAAATAATGTTTATGTGCATAATATTCTTAACTATATTTTGTGGAAAAGTTTATTTTCAACCGCAGTAGGCCAATATTTCACTTTTATGCGGCTGCATTTGCTTAATTCATGCCAATTAGGGTTCATGGGAATGATATTCCAACTGTTTTATGAAAAAGATCAATTTGCAGCCGCATGTGACCAAAATTTTATATTTATGCGGCTGCATTTGCTTATTTCGTGTTATTCATTGTACAATGGCATAATATTCACAACTATTTCACACAAATGTTCATTTCCATCCGCACAAAGTACAAATATATATCAAATGCTGCGAAATTTGTGTATTTTGTGAAAATAATGTTTATGTGCATAATACTCTTAACTATATTTGTGAAAAAGTTTATTTTCAACCGCAATAGGCAAAAATTTTACTTTTATGCGGCTGCATTTGCTTAATTCATGCCAATTAGGGTTCATGGGCATGATATTCCAACTGTTTTATGAAAAAGATCAATTTCAGCCGCATATGACCAAAATTTTATATTTATGCGGCTGCATTTGCTTATTTCGTGTTATTCATGGTACAATGGCATAGTATTCACAACTATTTCACAAAAATGTTCATTTCCATCCGCACAAAGTACAAATATATATCAAATGCTGCGAAATTTGTGTATTTTGTGAAAATAATGTTTATGTGCATAATACTCTTAACTATATTTGTGAAAAAGTTTATTTTCAACCGCAATAGGCAAAAATTTTACTTTTATGCGGCTGCATTTGCTTAATTCATGCCAATTAGGGTTCATGGGCATGATATTCCAACTGTTTTATGAAAAAGATCAATTTCAGCCGCATGTGACCAAAATTTTATATTTATGCGGCTGCATTTGCTTATTTCGTGTTATTCATGGTACAATGGCATAATATTCATAACTATTTCACAAAAATGTTCATTTCCATCCGCACAAAGTACAATATATATCAAATGCGGTGAAATTTGTGTATTTTGTGAAAATAATGTTTATGTGCATAATACTCGTTACTATATTTTGTGGAAAAGTTTATTTTCAACCGCAGTAGGCCAATATTGCACTTTTATGCGGCTGCATTTGCTTAATTCATGCCAATTAGGGTTCATGGGCATGATATTCCTACTGTTTTATGAAAAAGATCAATTTCAGCCGCATGTGACCAAAATTTTATATTTATGCGGCTGCATTTGCTTATTTCGTGTTATTCATGGTACAATGGCATAATATTCACAACTATTTCACACAAATGTTCATTTCCATCCGCACAAAGTACAAATATATATCAAATGCGGTGAAATTTGTGTATTTTGTGAAAATAATGTTTATGTGCATAATATTCTCAACAATATTTTGTGGAAAAGTTTATTTTCAACCGCAGTAGGCCAATATTTCACTTTTATGCGGCTGCATTTGCTTAATTCATGCCAATTAGGGTTCATGGGCATGATATTCCAACTGTTTAATGAAAAAGATCAATTTCAGCCGCATATGACCAAAATTTTATATTTATGCGGCTGCATTTGCTTATTTCGTGTTATTCATGGTACAATGGCATAATATTCACAACTATTTCACAAAAATGTTCATTTCCATCCGCACAAAGTACAATATATATCAAATGCGGTGAAATTTGTGTATTTTGTGAAAATAATGTTTATGTGCATAATATTCTTAACTATATTTTGTGGAAAAGTTTATTTTCAACCGCAGTAGGCCAATATTTCACTTTTATGCGGCTGCATTTGCTTAATTCATGCCAATTAGGGTTCATGGGAATGATATTCCAACTGTTTTATGAAAAAGATCAATTTGCAGCCGCATATGACCAAAATTTTATATTTATGCGGCTGCATTTGCTTATTTCGTGTTATTCATTGTACAATGGCATAATATTCACAACTATTTCACACAAATGTTCATTTCCATCCGCACAAAGTACAAATATATATCAAATGCTGCGAAATTTGTGTATTTTGTGAAAATAATGTTTATGTGCATAATACTCTTAACTATATTTGTGAAAAAGTTTATTTTCAACCGCAATAGGCAAAAATTTTACTTTTATGCGGCTGCATTTGCTTAATTCATGCCAATTAGGGTTCATGGGCATGATATTCCAACTGTTTTATGAAAAAGATCAATTTCAGCCGCATATGACCAAAA